CCCAGACTATGAACCTACTAGAAGAAAACGTAGGGGAAAAGCTCCATGACATTAATTCAAGCAAAGATTTTTTTGGAGGGGACCTCAAAAGCTCAGGCAATGAAAGCAAGAATAGACAAATGGGATTATATCAAACTTAAAAAGCTTCTGCACAGCCAACATCAATAAAGAGACAATCTATAGAATGGGAGATAATATTTTTGCAAACTATATACTTGATAATGGGTTAATATATCTACAGTATATGAGAAACTCAACTAGATGGCTAGAAAACAACCCAAATTAAACATGGGCAAAGGACCTGAATAGACATTTCTTTAAAAATGATATACAAATGGCAGAAAGGTGTGCGAAAAGATGTTCAACATCACTAATCGTTATAGAAATGCAAATTAAACCACAAGATATCACTTCACACCTATTAGAATAGCTGTTATCAAAAGACAGAAGACTCTTATTGCAAGGGTGTGAAAAAGAGTAACCTTTGCACATTGTAGGTGGCAATGTAAATTAGCACAGGTATTAGAAAACAATATAAAGGTTCTTCAAAAAATTAGATCTACAATATGATCCCATAATCCCACTACTGGGTACGTACTTTTCTTTTGTCCAAAGGGGATATGCTCCAACACCCCCAGCAGCTGCCCAAAACCATGGATGGTACTCAACTCTGTATGCACTGTTTTTTCCTAAAGATAGATACTTAAGATAAAGTTTAATTAAGCACTTATCACATCACTTTTGTACTTTGGGGCCATTATTAAGTAAATAAGGGTTACATGATCATAAGCACTCCGATATCTCAACAGTTGATATGATAGCCGAAACAGCTTCTAAGTGACAAACTGTCAGGGAGCATGGACAGTATGGATTCCCTGCATGAAGGAATAACTGACATTATTTCTGGAATTTTCCATTAAATATTTATAGATCATGGTTGACTGTGGGTAACTGAAACCATGGATATACTATGTATATCAAAAGGAAATAGTATGTTGAAGAGACATCCCATGTTCATTGCAGGCTTATTCACAACAGTCAAGTATAGCATAAACCTAAGCATCTGTTAATGGATGAATAATGAAAATGTGGTCTGTATACGCAGTGGAATACTACTTAGACATAAGAAGGAAATTCTGTCATTTACAACAACATGGATGAACCTGGAGGATATTGTTAAGTAAAATAAGCTAGGCACAGAACCTTGAAAAATTGATCTCCTAGAAGTAGAGTACACAGTTATTGTCAGGGGTCTGTGTGGCTATGGGGAGGGTTTGGGGAGATGGTGGTCAAAGGATGCAATATTTGAGTTAGGAAGAATAAGTTCATGGGTTATATTGTACAATATAGAGACTATAGTGAAAAAATGTATTCTTGAAAAATGCTAAGAAAATGCATGTAAAGTGTTCTTACTGCAAAAATATGTGAGGTAATGTGTGTATTTTCTTTGGCTAGATTTGGTGATTTCACAATGTATGTGTACTTCAAAACCATCTATAGCACATGATAAATACATACAATCTTTTATGTGTTAATTAAAAAAAAAATTTAAGGCAGGATGTATTACAGTTTTTATTACTACCAGTGTTTGAAGTTACCGTTTTGTAGCAACCCAAATATTAAATTTTTCTCAGTTTAAATTATAAAATACTAGCAACAAATACCGTTTTCTCTTTTGAGTTTTTTATTATGACATAGTTTTCTATGAATTGTTTATTCATTTGTGTGACACATTTACTATATCATCCTAATTTTTATAACAATTTTATAAGTTCTTTAGGCAGTATAGATGTTCTTCACATCTCCTGCAAATATCTTAGCCTTTGTTTTCATTCTAAATTTGTGTTCATTTTATAAATTGCATTTTTTATTTGACCATGTTTATGTTTCTTAATTTATAAACTTTGAAGCAGTAAGAAAGGTTATTTTCTCTACAGACAATTTACACTGAATGAGATTTTTATTTTTGTTTTACTAAACTTTCTAAAATTAATTTTTCTGGAACATTTCTGCAAAATAATTTTGCATCGTGTATGGAAAGCCAAGAAAATGTCTCTGTTTTAATCCTCTTCTTAGAAGACTTAATAAAAGAAAGAATATAGTTTGGTGTTTTGAAGTAACCATATTCTTATTTTAAAATATTGAAAGTCCGGTAAAATATTTTTGTGTTTTCCAGATTATTGCACAGTTGTAACAATTGTGGACCAGACAAATGTAAAATTAACTTGCCTGCTCTTTAGTGGAAACTATGAAGCCCTTCCAATAATTTATAAAAATGGAGATATTGTTCGCTTTCACAGGCTAAAGGTATAATTCATACTGTCTAGAACTTATATTTGTTTGAAGAGAACTCTGTATTGTTCACAGAAACTAGTTAGCATTAATTATATGGTTGCTTTGTTACAACATGACAGCAGGCTTTTCAGAAAATAAGCAGTAATGTAAATAGTATCAGACTTCAAATAATTTACAGAAAGAACCATCTTCATTTGAACGAACCACTTGCCTTTGTTCTCCAGAAATGTATTACATGCCATGATTAAGACTAGTTCCATTCGTCTTCTGTTTCTAAATATAGACTAATGCTGTAGAAGTTTTATCTGTAGAGTTTTATAAAGAACATTTGTTTTTTAAAGTTTTAAAAAACAGTTTTAGGGCAACAAGAAAAAATGTTTACAAAAGTTAGGAGGTTATATTGTTCTTTCCTGTTCCTTGTATTAATTCAAGTACATTGAAAACATTGAGATATTAAGTATAATATCAAATTAAGTTGGTCTTCATTTTTAAGAAATATGTTAAGATATGAACAGGTACTTTTAAAATTATGCTTGTAGTTAAATAAATGTAAGAAAGCTTTTAATAGGATAAAGTAGCACAGTTTTTAAAAATAAAAATTTTAAAACTTAGATTGCAAAGCATTATTATTTTCTCAAAATTATCCTTCTTCCTGTAATCTTCATTTAATTGAACATTTTTGTTCAATGCAGTTTTTGAATTTTTCTTTGGAAATTACTGCCTGATGTTTTGGACAGCTTTTAAATACTTTGTATATTTTCAGTTCCTTAGATTTTAAACATTTCTGTTTCTTCATCTTTTCCTGTGTTACATGGATTTCCATTTAACCCCTTTATCATCTTGGTTGTCTTTTTCTTCTAATGCTTCAGTTTAATTCTGCCTTTCATGGTCAGTCTGACGTTCATAAACAAGGACAGTATTCAGCTGTGTTCTATTCTTAAGTACTTCTTATGACCTATTAATACTGCTTCCTTCAGAATAGGAGGATAATAGAGCATATTTGTGTGAAGATAAAAAGAAATAGAAATATTATCATTGTAGCAATGTAATACATGCTTATCCAAACATCAGCAAATTGCTCACTTTTCACAGTGTTGTATCCTATATACTGTATTCAAATAGTACACTCTCCCTTCTTAAATGTATTTAGTTGTTACTCTGGTTATTGTTTATGGAAGTTACTATTTAATAGCAAATAGATAAACATTTCATCATTCACAATATAACCATAGTCATATAGCCAACACTTCAGAAACTTCTCTCATTTCCCCATCCAGGGAGATCATTAATGTGTCCCCCGCTCCAGGAGTAAAGAGTCTCATGACCTCTAACAGCATATAGTTATCCCTTGATCAACACAGGTTTGAACTGCATGAGTACACTTATATGCAGAACTTTTTCAGTAAGTATTTTGGAAATTTTTTGGAGATTTTCAACAATTTGAAAAAACTTACAGATGAACTACTTGGCCTAGAAATATCCAAAAAATTTTTTAAAAGATATGTCATGAATGCATAAAGTACATGCTAGTATGTCATTTACTATCATAAAATATATACAAATCTATTATAAAAAGTTAAAATTTGTTAAAACTTATACACAAACACTAACAGACCATACATGGCTCCATTCACAGTTTAGAGAAATGTAAATGAATGTAAAGATGAAGTATTGTCTCTGTATAAAATAACTGTACAGCTGTAATAATTTCTTAGCCACCTCTTCTATAATATATTCACTTATGACTAAACATTTTTAAAGCACTGTCTTAGTTGTATCCAGCAGGTTTTACTTCATCATAACTTCATTACCATTCAGTTCAATGTATAATTGAATTTACATATTAATCATTGATTTCCTCTCTGACTATGGGTTTATAAATAATTTATAAATAATCCGTAAGTCAGACAGGAAATCAATATGAAAATTCAAAAAATATTGAATTATTATTGAATATATATTGAATTATTATTGAATATAATATATAGAATTATATTGAACATCTATGTTCTATTTGAATTATGTTCAAATAATCCAAATAATATATATTGAATTATATTTAATCCAATTTTAAACGATTATTATTTGTTTTTTATATGTATTTAAATTATTTAATAGTTGCTTTTTTTTTTTTACTATTGTATATTGTGGTCAGAAAATGTACTCTGAAATGTTAAGCATTTTGAAATTTGTGGATGCTTTGTATTCTAACATATGGTGATTTTCATTTTATTTCTTGTCTACTTATCAGCTGTTGAAACTGTGTTTTAAAGACTGCTATGATAGAAGATTTGTCTGTTTCCTATCGCTCTGTTGATTTTGCTTCATAATTTAAGGCAATGTTAATGGGGTTTAGGCCTTTTTATTTAATTTTTTATGTATTTTGAGGCTGCTTCATAGATTTAGGGTTACTATATTTTTCCTTTTTTTTCTTGAGACAGAGTCTCATTCTGTTCACCAGGCTGGAGTGCAGTAGTGCCATCTCGGCTCACTGTAACCTCCAGCTCCCTGGTTTAAGAGATTCTCCTGCCTCAGCCTCCTTCCGAGTTGTTGGGACTACAGGTATGCACCACCATGCCCAGCTAATTTTTGTTTTTTTTAGTAGAGACGGGGTTTTACCTTGTCCAGGATGGTCTCCATCTCTTGACCTTGTGATTCACTCACCTCGGCCTCCCGAAGTGCTGGGATTACAGGCATGAGCCACCACGCCCAGCTAGGTTACTATATTTTTCTGTAATTTTCATGTACTGTTCATGTTTAGGTCTTGCTTCCCTACATTCTTTATATTGACAGTTCCACTAGCTTTGAATAGCCCTGTGTTCTTTAGTTGAGCAAGGTCATTCTAAGCACACACATCTGTTTTAGACAGAATTTTTTTCTGTTTTTCTTATTGCAATGATCATAGTTCATACAAAAATATCCATAAAGCAAGAGTCAAGATCTACCCTTCTTTTTTCCAGCGCATATTTATTGTATATTTATTTGTACAGGCTTCTGTTTTAATGCAGAGAAGCAGACAATATAAAAGTAAGCATATAAGTCAAAGTAATTTCAAGTAGTGGTAGCTGCTGTAAAGAAAATAAAGCAAAATCAGAAAAGACCTTTCTAATGAGGAGATATAAGGGTTGAGACCCAACTGATGATAATGAGAAGTCCTACTGAGATTTGAGGAAAAATGTTTTCCACCACGTGACACTATAGGTGCCAAAGCCCTGTGATAGGAATGACCATGGTATTGGAGAAACAGAAAGACAACCAGCATGGATCTTAGTCAGCTATAGGGGAGGTGTTACAAGATGAAATTATGGTGGGTAAGTTATTTAGATTTTACTCTAAATACAATGAGAAGTCCTTAGAGGGTTTTAAATGTAAACATGAAATGATTGGTTAACATTTTGAAAAAAATCAGTCTTACTAACACATGGATAACAGATGGTTTGTTGAAGGACAAGCATGAAGGAAAAGCTTTAGAAGGCTATTTCAGTTTTACAGACATGAGATGAGGATGGCTCAGACTAGGGTGGTGGTGGAAATAGAAGTAGACTAATTCAGGTTGATTTTTAATCTCAAGCGAAGAGGACCTGCTCATAAATGATCTGTGAAAATAAGTTACCAACACACCTAAGCTGGAAGATTGTCCTGGTTTACCATGATAATCAGCAGAGGCAAGCTTTGGTAAATGCTCTACACTAGTGAGCCTGGAATTGGTGATAACAATGATGATCACAAAACCAAAAATCAATCAGACATTGCAGTATAAAAGAGAAGCAGCATATACATCAAGTAGAACCCGTTTAAAAGTGAGAAGTTAGGTAATTGATCAGTTGTAGGCAAGTATAGTTAGAATCTGCAGAGTGAACTTCTGCTTTATGAAAAATTAACTGGTACTGGACTAGCCCTACTGCCATAAAGACCCATAAAACATATGAGACAACTGTTTTTTAGGCATCGGACAATGGGTAGTTATGATCAGAGAGCCAAGAGAAACTTATGAAGTGAGCCCCATCGTGACCACATACCTGCCTACAGACATATTCTCAACCACTGCACAGTAAGCTGAAGTGCAAGCTGTGGTCCTGCTATACCTAAAGTCAGAGTTCAAGGCAGCTGAAAGTTGGAATTTTTGCAACACAAAACCAGAGAGGAAAGAGCTATACAGAAGGGGATATCTAAAAGTCCACCCCGCCACGGTTGGGTTGGTCTTGAGTACTTGACTGAAAGCCAGGCTGCACACGGCAGGGTAGAACTACTTAAGGATTACAAAAGCTGCTGTGTGGTTGAACATGTTGAACATGAAACACACACTACAGGTCTAGAAATGGGGGTGCCGGAAGTCCAAGATAGTCAGGGACAAATAACCTTGTTAATACCTCTTTAATACCTTGAACATTCAGCTGAGACAGCGCAAAGGTTTCAGCCCCAAAATAACTCACAAAGGTCCACATCTTAGGTTAAGGCCTTTTCTACACATGTTTTATCAAAGCCTAAAACAAGTTCTACAGAGAAGACTTCACAGAGAGTTTGCAGAGTGAGTCTCATCAAGGTAAAAGACTTTGGGATTTCCACAGATAACAAAGCATAAAAACAAGCATTCATGAGTTTAAGATGACCAGACAACAACTCAGTGGCAACAAGAACAAAAATTAATGTTTGTCAGAAGAAGCCAATGTAATTCAGAGTCTTTACAATATATCATCTATGATGTCTAGTAAAGAAAAAAGATACACTAGACATGAAAACAAGAAAGTGTTATACCTAGTCAAGAAAAAAGAAAAAAACATAGGCATTTCAAACCAACTCCATGGTAGCCCAGATGTTGTCTTTATTAAACAAAAACTTTAAAGCAGATATTACACAGACTTTCAAAGAATTAAGTGGAGGTGGAAGGATCCCTTGAGCCTGGGAGGATGAGGCTGCAGTAAAATGTTACTACATCACTGCATTCCAATATGAGTGACAGAACAAGACCCTTCTCAAAAATAGAAATAAAAAAATAAGGGAATTAAAGCAAAAATACATTAAGTGAATTAAAGGAAGATGTTAAATGAATGAAACGATAAGAAATTTCAGCAGGGAAAGAAGTAGAAACTATTAAAAAACAGAAATTCAGTCACTGAAAAGAACAAATGAAATGTAAAATCTGCTGGATGGGCTAAATCAGATATACTGTATGTTAAATTGATGACAAATCATTAGAAACTACCTAATCTGAAGAGCAAGGATTAAATAAAAATTAAATAGAATTATACCATTGAAAAGTTATATTTGTGAAGTAGAATGTGTAAAATAGGAAGTGGTAAGTATGAAATGGAAAGTAGAAAGTACATAGTAGAAAAATATTGATTCCAAGTAGACATTGAGAAGTTGAAGAGTTATTCATAGGTGTCTCAGTGCTCTCAGTCACTGATTAAACCTTCGCCTGAGCTGCATTTTATTCACCTTATATTCTCATATTTCAAGTGTTCTGGTCTTTTCTATAATATTCATAAGTCACTCTCATTTGTGATCATTTTTCCTTGTAAAAATTACACCTTAATAAAAAACTAATAAATAAAATGTAAAAATGCAAGCTTGATAGGATTAGGGAGACTACTACCTAGCTCTTTAAAAAATATAAATGAACTTTGCATAGAGGTTCACAGTTTACATGATAGTTCTGTATCTTGATATAGCACCAGTTGAGTTTAGAATTTCATATGCTAATTAACTGAAAAATAGTTTTTTAAAAATGCCCTCTCTTAATTATGCTGACAAAATTGATAATCTTTCCAATTTCTTTGGTTCACAGATTCTTCATCAGTAAGCCATTTTATTTGTATCTGTTTTCTACTTTGCCCTACTTTCTTAGATTCAAGTGTATAAAAAGGAGACTCAGGGTATCACCAGCCCTGGCTTTGCATCTTTGACATTTGAGGGAACTTTGGGAGCACCTATCATACCTCGTACTTCAAGCAAGTATTTTAACTTCACTACAGAGGACCACAAAATGGTAGAAGCCTTACGTGTTTGGGCATCTACTCATATGTCACCATCTTGGACATTACTAAAATTGTGTGATGTTCAGCCAATGCAGTATTTTGACCTGACTTGTCAGCTCTTGGGCAAAGCAGAAGTGGATGGAGCATCATTTCTTCTAAAGGTACGTATTTTTTTAATACTTGAAATTATAAGTTAGCACCACTTGCATGTCTGTAAACAGCTTATATTTCAGCATTCTGATGAGATAAATAGGCACACTCTATATTATACTAAGAACTTAAATTTTAACTATTTTTGATGAACCTCAATATTCTTGCAGCTCTACTCTTCTCTAAAATTTTACACTTTTCTTCTAGAGAAATACAGTGTTATCAGATCTACATGTTAAATATAGTATGACATGTATTTTTTAAATTTTAGTATTAATAATATGTAGACTTGTTTTCTATTATCTTATGGTTTTTAGTCATATACATGAATATTTTTGTTTCCCTGTCAAGGTCACCTTCCCTCTCATTCAATTACTTTTTTGTCCCATTGATCTTGGGTTCTCTTCTTATGTCTTTCACTGCCTACTTCATAGGCATATCATGGATAGTTTTGAAGCAATTTTATTACTATGTTTTACTTTTAAATCAGTAAGATATAAAAGTAATTTAAGACCCATCAAATCTCCGTTTCCACCTATCCCAGTTTAGAAAATAACTTCCGGAGAAGCTGGATGTCCTGTTCCTGTGGTTATTGCTTTATACTCTCTTTGAAATAAGGCAAGAAATGGAGTGCAGTGGCACTTGGACAAGTCTTGGAGTTTAGGTTTATTATCATTTACACCTTGCCCATATTAAAGAACAGAGAAGTTAGATATCATTGAGTAAAATACAAAGTTTTTGCAGTTGAAAATACCACATTTATATACACATAGAATACTGTGATAAAGTTGTAAATGCATGTTACGCATAAAGTTAAATAAATCAAATATGATAAAACTGAAGCTAATGCAACACAAAATCAAAATCTTAGGTCAGCCAGTCATACTCTGGCAAAAGTGATGTTCTTAACAAATCAGCATTTGCTAGCCACTGAACACTTCTAATGACAAAGACTCTACTACTATGCGGTGAGGCATATTCTATCTTTTGACCACTATGTTTTTAGAAAATTCTTAAATTCTAAGATAAAATATGCCAACTTTTAGCTCAAATAGTTAAGTCTGCATTTTCTCTCTACAGAAACATTGCATATGCCTGCATCCAATTGTAGCAGATAACTTTTTTAGATAAGTGAAAACAACTGTCATAAATGTTAGTTTAAAATACAACATTGAAAAGTCAATAAAGAGCCTCTATAGCCAAGACAATCCTAAGCAAAAAGAACAAAGCTGGAGGCATCACACTACCTGACTTCAGACTATACAACAAGGCTACAGTAACCCAAAAAGCATGGTACTGGTACCAAAACAGATATATAGACCAGTGGAACAGAACAGAGGCCTCAGAAATAACACCACATATCTACAACCATCTGATCTTTGACAAACTGACAAAAAAAAGCAATAGGGAAAGGATTCCCTATTTAATAAATGATTTTGGGAAAAATTACTAGCCATATGCAGCAATCTGGAACTGGATCCCTTCCTTCCTTACACGTTATACAAAAATTAACTCAAGATGGATTAAAGACTTAAACGTATGACCGAAAACTATAAAAACCCTAGAAGAAAACCTAGGCAATACCATTCAGGACATAGGGATGGGGAAAGACTTCATGACTAAAAAGCAATGGCAACAAAAGCCAAAATTGACAAATGGGAGCTAAACTAAAGAGCTTCTCCACAGAAAAAATAAAATTATCATCAAAGCGATCAGGCAACCTACAGAAAGGGAGAAAATTTTTACAGTCTGTCCATCTGACAAACGGCTAATCTCCAAAATCTACTAGGAACTTAAATTTACAAGAAAAAAACAATCCCATCAAAAAGTGGGTGAAGGATATGAATAGACACTACATTTATGTGGCCAACAACCATACGAAAAAAAAAGCTCATCATCCCTGGTCTTTAGAGAAATGCAAATCAAAACAACATTGAGATACCATCTCATACCAGTTAGAATGGCTGTCATTAAAAAGTCAAGAAACAATAGATGCTGGAGAGGATGCGGAGAAATAGGAATGGTTTTACACTGTCGGTGGGAATATAAATTAGTTCAACCATTGTGGAAGACAGTGTGGCAATTCCTCAAGGATCTAGAACCAGAAATACCATTAGACCCAGCAATCTCATTACTGGGTATATACCCAAAGAATTATAAAACACATATGTTTATTGCAGCAATATTCACAATAGCAAAGACTTGGAACCAACCCAAGTGCCCATCAGTGGTGGACTGAATAAAGAAAATGTGGCACATATATGCCACAGAATATGATGCAGCCATAAAAAAGGAGGAGTTCATGTCCTTTGCACTGACATGGATGAAGCTGGAAACCATCATTCTCAGCAAACTAACACAAGATCAGAAAACCAAATACCTCATGTTCTCTCTTATAAGTGGGAGTTGAACAATGAGTATACATGGACACAGAGAGGGAACATCACACACCAGAGCCTATTGACAGCTGGAGAGCTAGGGGAGGGATAGCATTAGAAGAAATACTTAATGTAGCTGACGGGTTGATGGGTGCAACAAACCACCATGGCATGTGTATATCTATGTAACAAACCTGCATGTTCTATGCATGTGTCCCAAAACCTAAAGTATAATAAAAATAAAAATTAGTAAGGCTTTCTTATGATAATTTAAAAGTAAACCTCAAAAGTCTCTTTGTACCCTTCGACTCAGCAATTTTATTTTCATTATCTTAAGGAAATAATTTAAAATATTTACAAAGGTGCATTTAAAAGAATATATTATCTTTCTTAGAGTACAAAAATAAGAATATGGTAGAAAAATTAGAAAAAACCCAAATACTAACAATAGAGAATTGTGTACACTATTTATGTAGGAAGACCATAAAATAACATTGTAAATGTCACCATAAAATACTTTGTAACCATAAAATGACATTTTAGACATATACTTGTTGAGATAGAATTTCATGATAGTTTACTTAGTGATTACGGTAGTTTCATTTACACACTAAAAATATATGTACAAGGCCGGGCATGGTGGCTCACGCCTGTAATCCCAGCACTTTGGGAGGCTGAGGCGGGTGGATCACGAGGTCAAGAGATCG